ATCATCATCATCATCATCATCATCATCATCATCATCGTCGTCATCATCATCATCATCATCATCATCATCATCATCATCGTCAGCATCATCAACTGCATCAGCATCAGCATCAGCATCAGCATCAGCATACTCACCATCGTTAGTATCAGCATCATTGGCAGCATCATCATCTTCAGCATCATCATCATCAGCATCAGCATCATCATCAGAATCGACATAATCGTCAGCAGCATCATCATCATCATCATCATCAGGCTCAACCTCGTCCTCCTCCTCCTCCTCGGTTTCGTCCTCATCCTCCTCCTCGTCAACGTCCTCGTCCTCCGCGTCCACCTCGTCCACGTCCCCGTCCTGCTCTGCCTGCTCAGCATCATCATCATCCTCCTCGTCCTATTCCTCCTCCTCCTCCGCCTCCCACTCCTCCCTCATCTTCCTCCTAATCATCCTCCTTCTATTCCCGCCTCATAGTCGTCTTCCTCCTATTATTCCCTTCCCCATCCAAACGAACAGCGGAGGGCGAGGGAGGAGGAGCGAGGAGCGACTGGGCACTCTGCACTCGCGCCGATCTCTCCGCGTTTTCGTCAGCTCCCCACGGATTTCCAGCCTCAGGATGCGTTCAATCGGCTGCGCCTCGCCGAAGGGCGTCTGGGAGTACCCTTGTCGCCCTGCACGGCCGCTGAAAAGCCGAGCTATGACCCAAATAGCCGCGGGACAAGGAGTGAGGAGAGAGAAAGGGGACAAGCTAGGTGCGCCCTGGCCATATCTGACACCCTACCCTTCCCACCCATCCTTCCCCATTGCGTCGGCTCTTCTAAATCCGCCGACGGGTGTCATGGCGGATCTGAACCCTCAAATGCCCACATCGCACGATGCGCAAGCAGAAGTGGAAGGAAGCCGCACGCACTGGAGGAGGTGGAGCTGGAGGTGCCAGGTGAGCAGGAGGACTAGCAGGAGGATGCGGAAGGAAGGGTAAGTGGGTTACCCAAGGATTGCCCAAAGCCAACTGTCGGGAAGTGCTACCTCTACCTCAGGGGGGCTTCCAGTGAGCGGCCGCCCTTCAGCTGAGCATTGGGGGACCCACTTGCCTACCTTGGTGGGGAGGGCTCGCCCCTGTCACTTCCGCTCACGTCCTAAATCTCTACGATCGCCATTGCCCTGTTTAGCCCTGCAGCCACATCTCGTGCACACCCAGCAGGCCTCGCAAAACGCAAGCACGCGAATCCAGCGCAGGGAACGGACCCCGATTTTCGCTGGCACCGCTGCCTCCTGCGCGCCGTTGCGGCCCGTTCCTCCGACTCGAAGGCACAGAACGCGGCACGAGCGATCCGCAGGCTGATGAGAGAACGGAATCCTCCGAACGGTAGCAGTCGAGCAGCTCCTCCTCCCTACCTACTCCTCCTCCTCCACCACTTCCTCTATCCTCGTTCTCCGCCGCCTCCACTTCCCGCTCCCGATCCCCACCTCCTCCGGCGTTCCCTCTCCATGTCCCTCCATCAGTCCATCCGCCCCTCACACCCCCGTTCTCGGGGGCGTCCAACAGGGGGGCTTCCGAGAGGGGTGTTCGCAAATCATGGCCCGAGGCAAGTGCGCAGCCCAGGAGGGAGGGGCCGAGGGACGTGTTGAAGTAAGCAGAGGGGGCCATGACACCCAGAAAAATACCAGGGCCACGGCCATGACGTCCACGCCCCCTGGTCATCACCCCCCTCTTGGCCGCCCCATCCTTCTTCAGGGGCAACGATGGGTGGAGCCGCCCCGGGGGGTAAAACATCGGCCTTAAATCGGCGATGCATCGCCGATAGATCGGCAACAGGCCCTCGATGATGAATCCATGCGGTCCTGGGCGGGGCGGGCTGTCCGGCCCCCCTTCGGCGCTCGGTGGACGATTGGGGGCCTCCGCATCCTCCCCTGAGCCTGTCCCGCCCTAGCGTTGCCCCTGACCTCTCCTCCTTCGGTGGCAACCCTTTGGAACCTCCGGCTCTTGCGAATCGACGCCAATCGACGCGAAATCGACACTCACCGACGCTACATCGGCGCTAACTCACATCGACTCCCAGACGCTAATCGACGCGAAAGACAGAAACGTGAGGGAGCACAAGGCTCACATGATTTGCTACCGAATCTTGGTGGGCTTGCTTCCCAGCGCCAATACTATGAGTAGGAGGGGGAAGGGGGTCCTCCTCCTCCTCCACCTCCTCCTCCTCCTCCTCTTCCTCCTCCTCCTCATCCTCCACCTCATCCCCCCTTCCAACTTCTGGTGGTGGTGGTGGAAAACAGGTCCCTCAAATCCAATTTACGCAGAAAGCATCTATACACCACCACCGTGCCAGGCCAGGGCCATCCTGGGCCCTAGGATGGTGTATACGCCCTCCTGGCCGAGCCAGGAGGGTCTATACACCATCCCACGGCCCAGGATGGCCCTGGTCTGGCACGGTGGTGGTGTATAGATGCCTTCGTCGGACAATTGCTCTTGCTGCCCTCCTCTCCCGCCCCACCGCCATGGCCTGGCGAGCCTCGGCGCGAGCGGGGCAGCCCCGGCACGTCGGCCCGCGGGGATCAGCAGCACACGGTCGAGCGAGGACACGGCCGCGGCCACGTCGCGCAGCTGCTCGTCGACGAAGCCCACCTGCGGACTGGAGCGGCGCTGCAGTGGACACCGACCACCTGCGCGCTCTCCGAAGGCAAGGATCCCCGAGATCTGGGCGCCGCAGCTGCTTCTCGCCGGGCAGTGTTTCGCGTGGTGCTGGGCCCCGGTGCCTCTACGGATCGATCGAGCTCAAAACATCCGGCAGAAGGCTGTGTTCCAGAGCTCCAGTCGCAGTCTGTCGTGCTGCTGCTTTCCTACCTAGGCTTTGCCTAGAAGGGTTCTTGCTGTGTATGCGTAAAGGGCCGGGCAGTGGAACACGCCCCGGGCGGTTCCCCCGGCATCCGCCCCGTGGTTCCCCCAGTTGCGTCCCCTTAGCTTAGCGTTGCTTATCTCATCTTAGCTCATCTGAGTTCATCTTAGATTAGCTTAGCTTTATCTTATATCAGGTTTATCTTAGCTTTGGTTACCTTCATCTTAGCTTCGCCGAGCTTTAGCATAGCAGAGCACAGCATAGCATAGCATAGCGTAGCACAGCATAGCGCAGCGCAGCACATCATAGCATAGCATAGCATAGCGCAGCATAGCATAGCACAGCATAACACAGCATAGCGCAGCATAGCATGGGTGTAATTCCCTACCCAGGTTCTGCCTAGATGGTTAGCTTAGCTTAGTTTAGCTTAGCATAGCGCAGCGCTGCATTAGCATAGCATAGCATAGCATACCATAACCATGCATAGCATAGCATAGCATAGCATATCATAGCGCAGCATAGCATATCATAGTATAGCAGTTCATACCATATCATAGCACATCATAGCATAGCATAGCGCAGCTTAGCATATCATATCATATCATACCATAGTATAGCTTAGCATAGCAAAGCTCAGAATGGCATAGCATAGCTTAGTATAACATATCAACACATAGCGCAATACAGCATAGCATAGACTAGCATAGCATAGCGCAGCATAGCATGGCACATCATAGCATAGCACAACAACTACTGCTGCTTTCCTAGGGGCTCCAGCTTCTAGGTAGGGTCGCACTGGGGTAATTGTTTATCAGCGTCAGATCTTTTGGGAGCTCTAGCTGCGGGTCTGCCTGCAAAGCCCAGGAGCCGGGCGGGGGGGGACGGGGCGGTGCGAAGCAAGCCGGAGAGAAAACAAAACCTGCGTGGACATTACTGGTCGAAGGTTCGCCCAGGTCTCTCGGGACGGCGCTGCAACCCCCTCCCTGGTGCGCGGAACGCGCCAAGGAGAAGGAGGAGGAGAAGGAGGAGGAGGAGGAGAAAGAGGAGGAGGAGGAGGAGGAGAAGGAAGAGGAGGAGGAGGAGGAGGAGGAGGACGAGAAAGAGGAGGAGGAGGAGGAGGAGGAGGAGGAGGAGGAGGAGGAGGAGGAGGAGGAGGAGGAGGCGGGGGGCAGGGAGGAGGAGGAGGATGAGGAGGAGGAGGAGGAGGAGGAGGAGGAGGAGGAGGAGGGGGAGGAGGGGGGAGCACGGAGGAGGAGGAGGAGGAGGAGGAGGAGGGGGAGGGAGGAGGGAGGAGAGAGGAGGAAGAGGAGGAGGAGGAAGAGGAGGAGGAGGGAGGAAAAGGAGTTGGTGGAGGACGTGGGGGAGGAGGGACGGGGAGGAAAGGGGGAGAGGGGGGTCCGATGACAAGGAGGAGGGGTCCAGGTTTCCAGCGTGGCGACGGCGAGCCCGAAGAGGAGGAGGAGGAGGAGGAGGGAGGAGGAGAGGGAGGGGGGGGGGGGAGGAGGAGGAGAAGGAGAGGAGAGGAGGAGGAGGAGGAGGAGGAGGAGCAGGAGGAGGAAAGAGGAGGAGAGGAGGAGGAGGAGGAGGAGGAGGAGGAAAAGGAGGAGGAGGAGAGGAGGAGGAGGAGGAGGAGGAGGAGGAGGAGGAGGGGGAGGGAGAAAGGAGGAGGAAATGGAGGAAGAGGAGGAGGAAGAGCAGGAGGAGGAGGGGAGGAAGAGGAGGTGGTGGAGGAGGTGGGGGAGGAGGGTGGAGGGAGGAAGGGGGAAGGGGGGACCGATGACAAGGAGGAGGGGTCCAGGTTTCCACCGTGGCGACGGCGAGTTCCGAAGGGACGGGCCCAATGGCACGGAGGAGGGTTCCCTGATGGCGCCAGGGAGGGCAAAGCAACAGCTCCAGGAGGGCGACAGGGGGTTCCGAGGGCAAGGGGGAGGGCAAGAGGGGGGGGGCTCCAGGATTACAGCGTGTTGACGGCGAGCTCCGAAGAGAGGGACAGGAGGTCGGTGCGAGCGAGACGACGTGCGCCTTGCGGGCCGTGCATTCCCGTCGACGACGTGAACCAGGTGGCCTGTGCGTCCTGTTGTGCCGCTCTGTCGCCATCCGACTCCGTGCTCCTTTTGTCCACGCTTGGCCACGGCTTGACGCTTGTCTTCCTCCGAATACCGACCAAGCACCACGGCACCCCGACCCATCCCGAAGTAGCCGTTGGGCCTGCCAAATTCCAGTGGGGGGGTTCCGGACCATCGAGAAATTCGTTTGAGTTGGTTGGGATGGGGCGGTTTGGGCTTAGGGGTGGTCCGGGACCTTCGGTTTGGATTGGGGTGGTTTGGCAAGTCGTCATTCCATTCTTCGCCCTAGAACGATTTCGGCCGCTCTCGGAGCATGGGCACGTGCAAGGGGGCGGCGCGACACGCATGCAATCTTCGGAGGAGGCGACGGGGGGGGAAAGAGAGGAGGAGGAGGACGAAGAGGAGGAAAAGGAGGAAGAGGAGGAGGAGGGGAAGAGGAGGGGAAGAGGAGGAGGGGAGGACTCTTTTTTTACCTAACAGCGAAGACTGATAGGTTTCTAGTGATGTCAAAAGAGAGCATCTGATGACTCAGAAGGGAGGTCTGGGCGGCATCCGGACAGCGAGGGCTGGGCTCAGGGCCGGGCTCGTTTTAAGCAAACAGTCGCACACTTCGTGCTCTTCGACCTCCCAGAACTCCATTCCCGAGCCACATTTTGAATGCCCGGAGCCAACTGCAGGCCCACTTCGTGCTCTTCGACTTCGCCGAACTCCATTCCCGGGCCACAGTTTGGATGCCCGGAGCCAACTGTAGGCCACTTCGTGCTCTTGGACTTCCCAGAACACCACTCCCGGGCCACATTTTGAATGCCCGGAGCCAACTGTAGGCCACTTCGTGCTCTTGGACTTCCAAAAACACCATTCCCGGGCCACATTTTGAATGCCCGGAGCCAACTCTAGGCCACTTCGTGCTCTTCCACTTCCCAGGACTTTTTACTCCCGGGCCACATTTTGAATGCCCGGAGCCAACTGTACGCCACTTCGTGCTCTTCCACTTCCCAGACTTCCAAGACTCATCAGCTTCATCATCATCATCGCCCCCGTAGCCTTCTTGGCTACAGCCCTGCTTTCGAAGATTTCCATTCAAAGGAACCTCGCAGCGCCTACAGAACACCTTAACGCCAGGACAAGCTGATAGTTCTCGGTCTGGCGGCGGTGCTCCTGACCCTGCTGCATTGAACAGCGGCGCTCCTCAGCCTGCGGCAGGGAACAGCGCTGCTCCTCAGCGTGCTGCATTGAGCGGTCCTCTGCAAACGCTCGTCGAGCACGCGAAGCAGTTCGGCCGGATACCGAAGCGAAATAAAGAAGCGTCCGAACAAGAACGGGCCGAAAACAAGTTGGCCAAACGTTTCTCGGACCATCGCGACCGCATCCCCAAAGACATTTTGCATGAACTGCGGGCCCTGGGCTGCGCTGATCAGCGGACGGAGACCGAGGAGCTCAAGCGGAAGCAGAAGACCGAGGAGCTCATGCCGCAAAAGCGAGACAAGACCGAGGAGCCCATGCAGCAAGTGCTAGACCTCGGCCGCCACCCGAAGGAGCATGCCGGGCGTAGCCTCGCAGAGCGGCAGCTGGCAAAGACAGCCCGGAAAGCACGGAAGGCCAACCAGTTCTCCCCGGAGCAGGACGCCGAGCTCCAGGCCTTCAAGCAAGCGGAGAGCGAAGCCACAACAAAGACTCGCATCGCGGAGGCGGAGGGCCTTCCAAACCCAAACGTGTTTTGGACTATTCTCTACTGCTACTACCACTGCTTCCATCACTCCTACTCGTTCACTCCACACGCTGCAACTACTACTTCGCTGTTACCACTACTACCATCACTACTACTTCTACTGCTACTACTACTGTTACTAGTGTGTCACCACTACTACTACTGTTACTACTACTACTACTACTACTACTACTACTACTACTACTACTACTACTACTACTACTGCCACTACTACTGTTACCACTTGCTGCTGCTAGTGTAGCTATTGTTTCTGCAACTACTGGCAGTGCCACTGCGACTGCCGCTGACGCTGCCACTGCGACTGCCACTGCGAATCCGAATGCGACTGCGAGAACACCAGAATTCTACAACTGCACTCTTACATGAATACCACAGGCAATGTTTCCAGCCATGCTTCTACACATCGCTGTTAGGTTGCTTTGCCGGGATAATTTGAACTCTATGCTCGCGGACTGTCGTCCTACACTCCACCCTGGTTCCAGTCTGCTGTCCGCCCGAAGCGTCTGAATCCTCCTGCGTGGCCCAGTCCTCACGCCGCCGCCAACAATATCTGAATATTCGTTTGCGCCCGAAGCTCCTTGGCAAACTTACGCAACTGCCCACGATCTCCCCCGTCATTGCTGGCACGGGCCACGACAGGAGGCTCGGCGGGGGCCCCCTTTGGCTCTGGCTGCGCACTCCCCCTCGCCTCGTGGGCCGACACGACACGACGATCACCTCTCTGAGCCACGGCCATCACGATGGCTCTTGGGGGGCCTCCCCGCCGAGGAAACAAGCCGAAACCATGTTCGCAGATTCTCGACCAAGTTCGGGGTGAGACCGTCAGATTTCTCAGCAGGCGCCTCGAGTCCACCGTAGCACACCTCCCGCACGGCGAGCAAATCGGAAGAAACCACTGATCAACAAACGCGATTGAGTGAGACGGGTGGATCTCGAGGTCAACTCCATTCATTGGTTTGAACTCAGGGCCCTCTGGGCTTCTTTTTATTTGGGG